CTGTTGCTCTGAAGTGACTGTAAGTCTTTGCTTTCCCAGGCTCCTATGATCTGCTAGGAAGACTTGTAAAATTGAAATGTCACTAATGGACTTTGTAGTGAAATTTACTAAAAGTGGAAATAACTTTTCAGCAAAAGTTATCAGTAATCACTGATGTGAAGGGAAGAGTCTTAAAGCGAGAGAAAGAAACCCTGGGGGGGGGAACTGTTCTTATGTATTGTGATGCTTCTAGAGTTAGGAAATACATGAGAGAAGGAAGCGTAAGATACAATGTTAAGGCACTGCTCAGTTCAAATACATAATAATTTTTGACACTGTTCATGTTTTCCCTCCCATTTCTTTTCCTGCTTGGTGCGAAAGAGAGATAGGGGTAACAACACTGTCTTTCTGAAATTTTGACGCCACCCAAGATTCTCTCTGCTCTGCTTTACTGATAGAGAAACCTCAAACCAGCACCCTTCTCAATGCACTTATGTAGTTTGAAAAATTTTTTCAAATTTTTTTGCTTCATGTAGAGCAGATGCTATGAAAAGGAGGATGCAAGTGGAACGACTTTGCAGTTTCACAGTTGTTGTTCTTAAAAGTAGACTTATAACTTGAATAGTAATGTGTTTATGAGGCTAAATTCTTGTCTCTTCATTTGCCTGAGAAATGCCAGGGGAAGTATCTGAGTCTAGCTTTATGAAAAACAGGAATCACGTGACTTACATGCAAAAGAATAATTCCACAGGTCTATTGAGAGAGGGAAAATGGTGAAAGAAAACCCCTTTTTCCCCATGTTGGAACTAACTGCAGCAATTGGAAACTCTGACTTCTGGATACACCCTTGTAGAAAATGCTTCTGGTCATATGAAATTTATGCTACAAAGCACTGACATCCAGGAAGGCCAAATCCAGGATCGACCCTTTGTTAGCGCACCATTTATTTTGGATAGGAGAAAATACAGGTTTATAACTTAGGGAAAGGGGGTTAGCTTTAGTTTTGGATTTCCGGGCTTTTTCCTACTCATTGGTACTGACCACAGAAGAGGTTTGAGACGTATGAAATTCTTATAACCGGCAGACAGACAGAAAATTGTAGATTATACTTAATGTACTGGGTCTTAAGTAATTTGTGTATCAAGTAACTGTGTTATATTTTCATTATCAGCAGTATTTGTTTGATCTAGTAGAAATAATTACTATTTCATTCTGGAAAATGACATTTGAGCTTGAGACTTCGTTATTCTTAAAATTTAGGGCCACCTGCTTCTTAGGACAATATTCTTCTTGCCAGACCATAAGGAGATGGAGCTGCCAAATTTAAGGGAGTAGTCATCTCCATTTCAAAGTCAATAGTCTCTAATGTTTCTAACTCTAAAGCAATAACTCTTTCACCTTCTAATAAATAAAAGTGCATTGGTGGGTGACTGAACAAGGTAGAATTACTTGTGGCAAGATCAAAGCAATACAGCTTTAAGGGAATCTGAAGTTTATTGGAGTTCAGTATGTTTCTCCTCTTTCTACGAGTACTGAAAGGGGAAAAACCCCTCAGTTTACTTAATAAAAAAAATATACAGTGTGCTATGTAGCAACTTTTAAATATTTCTTTAATGCTTTACTTTGTGTTCCTCTGCACCTCAGCAGATGTGAGTATTTCTTGTGGGGTGTTTGTGTTAATACTAAGAAAATGTACTGAGGAGAGGTGAACACTGTTCTTTGCATGACTAAACTAAGACAGTTAAATTCTACTTAGCTGGGGATGTAGAACGAGGTGCAGACATGATCAGAAGGAGTAGCTTTTGCAGAAAGTGTTGACATGGATGAAGAGAACTTCAAAGTAGTATCTAACTGCAGAGACCCATGGAGAAGATCCATGAGAAGTTTTGCATGGTCTCAACCCTAGACTTGTGTCCTCTTGTGTACCCAAGTACGAGCAAAGGAACACATCCTGAAAGTAAGGGGGGGAAGCCAATTACCAGCAACAGAAAGAGAAAAGTCAAAGAAAAGAGAACTCACTGTGAATCTCCAGGTTAATTTGATTGCTTCTGTCATACACTTGGGGCAAGAAGTGCCTTTCTCTTATGCTGTGGTGTGAGGTGACATACCTCTTGTGAACCCATGTTTCTCTAGAGTTCTGGACTGCTGGTTTGCATTCTGGCTGTGGTTTTGAAGAGATACTGCCCTTCAAAAATGGGGAAGAGGCCTGGCAGCAGGGCAGGAAACCTGTGGTGGAAATGTTACAGGAATTACTGAAGAGTAAGAAGTCTCCTGCTGACCTCTCTGGCACTTCCTATGACCTCAGTTTTCTGCATTACTAATTTTCTGTTTATTTTGTAAAAGAAGGAAAGGAGGGTTTTGCTACAGGTTAAAGTCTCATTTATTGTTTGCTATCAGGTTTTTAGCCTACATAAATTCTTGCTTTAATAGGAGGACGATGAAGAAGGAGAGAATAGATGCAGACCTTCCATTAGATTTTGCTTTTCACGTCAGTACCTGCTGCCTTTTACCTTTCCTTTTAAATTCTATATTTCAGTCACCTAGGTAGAAAATTTGATTGTAGTCTTACTGTAAGGTCTGGCTACTTAATCACGAATTTAATGATAGTTTATATTTTTAGGTAGGGCAAGTCCTTAATGGCTGAGATAATTGCAGTTATATTGCCCATAGTGATTAATTCTTTCTTCTGCTCTGAGTCAGTGTCAAACCAGTGTGACAAGTTTTAATAACAACTTCCCGTTAATAGAAATTTTTGTAACAATGAATGATCCTTCTGGAACATTGACATGATTAATGAGGTGGTCTTGCACACTGAATATGAAACAGCCTTGAGTTTTTCTTGTCCTTGGAAGTCCTTTGCTTCCAGGTAGTGCTGAGTTTTATAACTGCAGAGGGAGGAGTATTTGATGATAGGAGAGCAATTTAGGTGTTTTATCAGAAGTTTTACTGACTTAGTATTTTAAAAAGAGCAGTATGTTTTGTTTTTCATTCCTTCTCTTGCTCTGAGGTTCGCAGGGTTGTTTAAATAATGCGTACTTACTTTGAGGGGCTTCAGTTTTGGTTTGTACAGTTATAAACATAATTGTTAGTTAATGGAAGGGTCACGCAGCACCTACTGTGTGACAACAAAGATATGAATTTGTGAAGTGCCGCTTCCTACACAGTGACTGATGTGCATATGCCTTTGTTTTTTTCTCCAGAACAGGGTAATAGTTCTTGGCAGAGTATTGTTGCAGTGTGGAAGCACAGAATCTTGTTTTCTGTTCAGTGAAATATACTTTCCTCGTGGCACTTAATAAGTGGAGTTAATATGATTTGTACCAACATTGGAAAAATGTACAATTCCTTTTTTAATTTATTTTGTTTCATAAAAAAAATCTGCATGTATGCTTGGAGATGTTAACATCTAGTAAGAAATATTTTTTTAGGTCACTAATTGCTTTCTTTGACTCTGTCCTGGTTTTCTTTGTTTGTTTCATGTTTCTTATGTATTTGTTTGATATAGGTGTAACAGTGAGAGTCTGCACAAGATGCCAGAGCAGTGGCTAAGCTGTGTGTTGGAAGAAATCAAATCTTGTGATCCTTCATCTACACTATGTGCAACCAGACGTAGTGCAGGAATTCCATTCTACATACAGGTACCAAATAATGTTATTACCTCTGACTTAAATGTATTCACCAGAAAGACCATAAAAAAAATAAAATTATGTATTTATTTTTCTCACTTCAACTCCTTTTGATCAAACAACTGGGATTTTTTATACAGACCTTTATACAGATTGCCTTTGTGCAATTAAGAAACTGCTTGTAATTAAACCATGTTTGGCACCTCAGTTCTGTTGACTCTTGAAATTTTTGGCTTGAGGTAGGTTTGAATGGCATTTCTAAAGACTGAGATTAGGCTCTATGTTGCCACTGTAACAATCCTGGCAAATTCATAAATTAATTCACAGTTCAAGTAAGGCTTTGTTAACCATGTAACTTTGGGCTTTTTCAGTGCAAAGTGGGAGGGTGGTAAAATATGAACAGACCTTCACAGAATTGTAAAATTGTGGCTTGCAAAGAACTCAGGAAGTCCACTCAGTAGTCATAAAGCACAAGTAATGGTGTTACAATAACTGGTATTGACTGACAGTCTGGAGTGCATTGAGTGAGCAGGTTACTGAAGACTTCTGTCCATGAATGTGGGATCAGGCTCTCACATTCTTCCCGCTCCCTGTGTTAACTATCAGCTCCATAAATCCCAGCTTCTTTGTCTTCTGCCAAGTTCAGAACTGATGGCTGATCAGCTGGCTGGCAGTGTTTTGTGTCTGCTTGAAGTGTTGCCTCTTACTGAGCACCCCACATTACTATGCAGCAGCTCATCTGCATCCCCGTGGAGTCAGTCACTGCAGAGTTGGTCTTGCAGATTACACTTAACTGTTTTCATTCCTTAAAGCAGCCATGTTTGCTTTCCCCTAAATTAACCTCCATGATTTTGGTCTTCAACCAGTTTTCTGAGACAGGAGTCGAAGATTATCTGCACAATGTGTAACTTTCTCCACTCTCTCAAGTATAGTCTCAAGCACATTCCAAGAATCTCAGGGACTGCTGGGAGCAAGCTCTCTCTGCCAGAATAATTCATCTTGCTTGTTTTCCACTCCGAGTTTGCGCTGAGAAAATTGAGGCAGCAGGCTTCTGTCTGACCTTGCTTATGTCAGTCACAGCCTGCTCCTGGCTTTGCTAGATGTGTATGTGCTAGACAGCAGGGATCAGAAATAGGGGATTGGTTTTGGAGACACTTTTCCTTCTCAATTTCAGCAGTTAAATACCTTTCTTGTTTATATTCGTAAGTTGTCTGCAGAATGAAATTGGTGATTTCAAGTTTTCTGGTTTCCCCATTCACATCACACAGTTTGAATCCAGTGGGCATTATCTAGTGTTAATCTTGAGAATATGAAGAAACAACCATGTTTCAATCAGTTATTCATGTAAAAGGTTGCACTAATGTAAGTACTAGGTGGGCCCAATGGTATCCCGTTGCAGAAGATGTGTGTAGTCTGCAGTTGACCTACATTACTGGTCTATATTTTGGATAAACAGGTCAGATGCTTCTTTTTTGACAGCTTTGGAAGCGTCCAAAATTAGTCTTAAGTCAATTAATGAGAAGGTTCGAAATGAACATTTGGATTATTCTGAATTAATCTGTTTTCAAATTATAATTTTGTAGTAAAGAGAGGTGATAGTGTTCTTTGGCAGTAGTTTTGAATGTGCCTATAGCACTCAGTAAAATGAATTAAACTTTAAATAGCACGTTGCATTGAGATAATAAAACACAAGTTTTATTGTAATGTGTAAGTTGTAATGTGTATCCTAACAGTAGTAAAAGAAAATTATTTTATTAATGCATAAAATTGAGACACAGCATGGTCTCTTTGCTGTCTACTTCCTGTTATGTGTGTTCTTGTTTTACTAAAACACATCTATTTTAATGATAATATGTATTTTTTAAGGTTATAAACATTTCATAGCATCTTTAAAATAGAAATGTTATTACTTAATAGGACAAAGGCGCAACCCCAATTAGTAGGTGAGGAAATGGTGAGAAAATACGAATTACAGCTTTAACATTTTTAGAGTATGAAATTTTAGTCTTCAGTTCACTCTCCTCTCTTTTATATTTCATGTACACTTCCCCCCTCTTTTTCTTCTATCATTAAAGGTATTGATGAACTGACAGTGACTACTACTGAGTTTCTGCCTCACCTCTGTACTTCATTTGGCTTGCAGCTGATCCATTTGGTTCTTACTGACTCTGGGCCCCAAAGCACAAATGGATAATAATTTTTTATTAGAAATAAGTGATTTATGATTATCCCTTTGTACTGACTTGGGCAAATTCAACAAGCGGTACTAGACAAGGAGAGAAAGACTGTTTTACCTCCAATCCTGAACTTCAGATTACTAAATCAGAGTATTTTCATCTCAGCTGGATGTCCTATGCACTGAACTACTATTTGGAGATGGATGCACCTCTTATCTGTTTTTTAAAATGTGCTGCTTTTTTTTATCCTGTTTGCAAACCAGAATTTATTCTTTGGCCAGCCCTTATCGGATGTATGTTATTAAACTAAAAAAAAGTCCATACTAGGAAATATAAGTATGTATAATATGGCAGATACTTTTGCTGTCATAAGTACGATAATGTTTTTGCTCTGTGATAAATTTTTCTCTTGTATACAAGCGAGTTTCTTAGGCAAATGAATAGTGCATGAGCAATGTTTTCCTACTGTAAAGTTGGATGCTGGAAGGCTTTGAAAAAGCAAAGAGTTGAGACTGAAACTTAATTTTTGCAAATTTTTATTTAGTCCTTGTGTATGGTCAAAATCTAGACTGTAATATGGTAGATGTAGGAATGTGGAGCAGAGTTGGTAGTAAAAATGGCTAGAAACATCTGATTTTTTTTTCTTTTTTTACTTTATGTAGGCTTTGTTAGCATCAGAACCCAAGAAGAGCAGAACAGATTTGCTGAAAATGACAATGGCAGAAGTGATATCTTTGGCTACACCTTCGAATGAATCATTAAGTGTAATTCCACAGGTAAAATTCAGCCTCTCATCAAAAGGGAAATGTCAAAAACGTATTTGTGCTATTTCAAACAGTTAAGGAAAACCTGTGTTTTTAATAGGACATTCTGATTTTAGTATCTGTAGCTGATTTTAAAATGTGTTTGCCTGTGCAGAGGTCATGAAATTGCTGGCATTTGCAATCTGTATAAGATACTAAAAAATGGATTGGGCATAATTTCATAGGTTTTTTTTCTACGCAAATGTAGTCATATATGATCAGTTTACTGACTGTACTATTTCTAAACAAATAGATAAGTAACTTCCTTTTTAAGAGAGAATTAACAAGCAAGCTTTTGTTTACATTTAGAGTAAATAAGTGAGTTATTTATGCATAAATCATATTGTATGGAGTAAAACACTACATGAAAAGTGATTTTATGCCTGCTTAGTAACTTCAAAACCTTAAATACATACATTTGGAATACTAAAATATGTTTTAAAGGCAAGACCTTTATCTTCAAAATGTTGCTATGAAATACTCTTTGTAAGTACAAGTCATAATTTGTTGACAATACATAGAAATATGTCCTAATGGCTCTGCCAGATCTTCTGCTGGTATAAATTTATGTAGCCTTGTCAAAGCCTGTGAAGCTACACGGATTGCCATCTTCCCTTACTGAGAGAAGAGAAGTATCAGACAATGCTCCATATGGTGTAGCGAGCCTGGCTGTCAGTTCTAGCTTAATATTGTCCTCCTGTGAGTTGTAGTTTATTTTTTCTCACAGTATCTACAGCGTGTCAAGAATGTTGGAAAAGATGATTCTAAACTTTGAATGTTATTTTTACAGCCATGATAAGCTAAGGAAAGAAGAATGTTGGCCTTCGCTTCCAGTGCCTTGGACTATAGTTGTTAGAGGAATATATTTTTAAGCTGTAAATGCTGCACAATTTTAATGTATTTTTTAGTAGCAGTATTTCTTGTATTTAATATGGAAACAAAGTGCTGTAAATGTGTATTTAGATTATTTTTGCTGTGCATGTTCAATGCTGTAGATACATATGTTAAATTTAAGATATCTTCCAATGAATCTATATTTTTCTTATATCTCTACTCCCACCACAGGTTCATGCTTTAAATATCCTCCGGGCACTGTATAGGGATACACGTTTAGGTGAAAACATCATGCCTTATGTTGCAGATGGAATAAAAGCATCAATTCTAGGGTTTATGTCACCTGTCTGGGCAGTAAGTTAATTCTTAATTTTGCTTCTCTAATTTAACAGGATATAGAGTGGTACTGTTCAGTGAAGCTTTCATCATTTTTATAAATGGCAGTATCACAATTTCTGGAATGTTACATGATGTAATATATTAAGGTACAGTGAAAAATAATGTGGACCTGCAAAAAAGTCATAGTTTTGGTCATGTTTTTTGGTTTCGTTTAATTTTTCTTAATGTGAAGTGCTGATATTCATAAAAAAGTAGGGACAAAGATTACCTTATAGGTAAAAATATATCTAGCTTTTAAATTTGGAATCAGTGCACCGAGCCAGTAAGGAGTGCATTTAACATTCATTCCCACTGTTACTTTGCTCTTCAGTAAAGAATTCTGTATGGCATATTCAGGTAGAACGTTTCATGATCTGCTATGCATAAGAGTGAGTGCTTTGAACCACTAGAAATCTGGATGTATCCTTTATATTAAATGTGGACATCTCCAAAGAACCTGAACTTTCTATTAGTATCATTTTGATTGGAAAGGTGTGCTGAATTAATTGTTTCCATGTGCTGACCTCTGAGGAGTAGGCACGTTTTCACTCAGCTGTTGTTTTTGACTGTACATTAGTGTCTGTATTTAAAAAAAAACAGTACATTTTAAAGGGATTTTTAAAGCGTAGTTCGTATTCTTTCCTTTTCCATTTAGGTAAGAAATTCATCTACACTTCTTTTTAGTGCTCTGATTACAAGAATTTTTGGGGTTAAAAGAGAGAAAGATGAAAATTCAAAAAAAAACAGGTAAGCTTCACTTTGTATGAATTGTAAGTTTGCAAAACATGACCTTAGCCAACAACAATTTGAGAATGTTGCTTGCATTATGGATATACTTGAATCATGATGTTACAAAAACATCTAGCTCTGCTTAAACCGTGCTGCCAAGAAATAAGTGGTAAGGCCAAAAATGTCTCCTGTTAAACCCAAAGTTAATTTGTACTCCTGTGCAATTTCACAGAAGGGGAATGGTGTTGAGAGATTTTGCCACCAGTGGCTCTTCCAAATGCCTGGTGGCTCTTTTGGCCACAAACTAACCCATAGCTCTTGACAGCAAGGAGAGGGTGAGAAAGAGAAGAGGAACAGTGGTTACACTGGTGTTGGCTTCCCTCTAGAGCAGTCCGAGAGGCAATTTCACCCCTACTAATTTGAGATTTTTCCCTTTAGTCTTCTTACTCTAGAACACTTTCATGTCTCTTTCCTCCAAGCTCCAAAAATTACAGCTTGCAAAGCCATTTCTCTTCCAAGGGATTCTACCCTTGGATTCTGTACTCTGGCTTCAAATCCCCTACTATTTCCCTTTCTTAAGTAAACCCAATTCTCCTCTGACTCCTAAAACTCCCTAGTCCTGAGCATTCCTGTTTCTTCGCTCCCTCCAGTTAGTGCACAAGTACCCCTATGTTTTCTTTGGCCTTCAGCTGCTTCCTTTAGCTTTTGCAGCAAGTGAAGCATGTCCACGCCCTGTGCTCTATAACTGAGGTTTCTGCTCTAGTGGGGATGTGAAAAAAACCCTGGATGCAGAATAAACTCATTAAAAAATACTCCTGGGTAAGCCTGTGGGGCCATGGAGTGGTCACGGTATGGATATTATGGTAACCATTTCAGAAATTCCTAATGGATTTTCACATCACAGGCAAGGTATGCAATTTCTGAAAGAAGGCAATTGTTATGATTTACCTTGAAAAATTCCAGCCTTTTTTGCTCATTATATAGTGGTTTCTTACTGTTGATCTATGTAGCTAATACAATTTTCATGCATATTATGAAAAACTAAATGTCCTGGGATGATACCAGTCTTTCATCTTTTAGATGTTAGATAGGTTCCATTTTAGCTGTTTGAAACAATTGATTTCAGGTATCACTTGAAAAAATTAGTTAATATACATGTATGAACATGAGGAAGAAATATGAATGGGAGACTGGAGGGAGAATTCCTTTAGAAAATTACTTCCCCCAAAACGATTTGAAATGTTAGCTCCCCTACTGCATGAAATTATTCCTGCTTAGTCATAAACTCAAATCACTTCTTGCCCAAACCTGGGACTTACTCCTATAACCCCTGAAACCCAAGGAGAGCAATAAAAAGCGTTTTTTATTTCTTGCCTTCTCACATCGGTTTTGTAACAGCAGTTAAAAGTTGGTTGTGGGTGGTTTTTTTTTTAATATTTTTTTTATTTTTATGTTGAGCACTTATTGAAGGAGGTACAACACACCTCAGCTTTTTTAAGCTTGTATCCCAGGGAAAAACTTTGCATTAACTTCTGCAGTGGGCAGGCAAACTGACTTCTCAAATGCATGGAGTGTGATGACATATGGAATTGAGATTTCTGTTTGGGAAGCTGCAGAAAGTAATGCATTTGAGCATCTGTTGGGGATGGGAGATACCAGAATGAAGGAAAGGAATCTTCTACATAGCTCAATTAAATTTATTGAAAAAACATTGCATGTAGTCACTTTTGCTGTTTCCTACATGTAGTTGTCAATACAGTGAAACAGGGAATGGGCAGACACTTCTAAAGACAGGTCACTGAGATACAGGAGGTATGAAAACGGAGACAGAGATTTGATTTCTAACTCCTGGCTCTACAGGAGAACCCTGCCGGTGGGTGTAAGGTGGGTTTTGTTTGGGAGGAGATAGGTCTGTGTTTCCGTAGTTTGGCACCACGAGGTGTCACTGTTGCTGCACAGCTCCCTGCAGCCACATCCTTGGGGTGCAGCTGTGCTTGGGCACCTCGGGAGCTCTAAACTTGTTTTGTTGAGTGTTTTGCCAGAACAGAATTCATATATTACAACAAAGTAATTTCCCCCCCCATTTCTAAATATGGCAATTTACTTCAAAAGCACTGGCATTTTTTAGCAACTTGAATCTATAGGAACTTGTATGAAAGTCATCTGGGTTTGAGCTGCTTGTTCTGTTGCCTTCAGGATGTTCTGTTTGCATTAAGGGGGCAGTCTGTCCGGAGACCAACTCTCTAATGCTGCCATTAGGACACTGTATAGGTTTCTAGTTTTTCTAATTTTAGATTAAGGGGTTAAATCTGTCTCTTTTGGGTCATCAGGGCTTATTGCTGGGGTATTCTGAGCATCTTTCTAAAAAAGGATGGACTTTCTGGCTGTTTTCTCAAGAAGAGTTCCTATGAAACTGATAAAATTGGGGTAACGGAGAGTTTGTGTAGACTTTAAGAAGAAAGGTTTGCTGGAGAATAAAGTATCAGTCCATCTTTTTAACTTTAGCATGGACAAAAAATGATAAATTGGAAATGTAATATGTGAAAAATAACAACTTTGTGCAGCTCTTGCAAGTCAAAGAGAGAGAAGTTGTGTGAAGACTGTTTACAGTGATCCATGCAACTATCGAGGTTGAGCTTTACCTCATTAGTGAAAAGAAAGTTAGAAACAGAAATCTTCTCAGGGTTTTCTCTTTCTGAGAAAGAGCGTATCAAAACTTCTAATGCTGCTGCAAGTGTGTGTGTTAGTATGTATATACATGTGTGTGTGCTTTTGGCTAAATGATACTCTGAATTTCAGAGAATTTACATTTGAAAAATGGTCTAGTTAACACTTACCAGTAGAGGGTTTAGTTTAGGTTTTGTATACTTAATTTGGGAATATAATTTTCTTAAATACTATGAGAATTTCAAATCTAGTCTTCTTGGAATCTAGTGTTCTTGGAATGAGATTTATAGCCACATAATACAAAGTAGTGAGGAGGGGTTGGAAAGAAGTCTCTGCAGTGTGCCCATTGGTACCTGTTTACATACAAGGACTCCCTGAAACAACATCTCAGCCTTGGCCATATTGATCAACATAGCTGGTCTACTCTGGCCTCCAATCGGGAGGCCTGGAGACACACCACGCTGCTGCTTCCTTTGAGAACACATGCAGGGTCACTCTCGAGGAGAAAAGACAATGCAGAAAGAATCGTGTCTTGCAGAATACACCACCTAAGGAGTCTTTCTGTTGTGCCTTTTGCAATCGGACATGTCTGTCTCGTATTGGCCTTATTAGCCACCAACGTGCTTGTAAAAAACGTGAATAGAGCCTTTCCCAAATCTTCGTTTGTGAAGCCCAGCCATGAATGAACAGAATGTATTCTCTGCATATAGATGTGTCACGGTATACTTTAGAAAAAATAACCACCCTTCTCTGAGCTCTTCACAGCGCAGGTATTTATGTTAGTGTAGTCAGCCACTTCACACTTGGAAGATGCTAAGTCTGCACCCTGTTTTTGCCTAGCTACCGTGGTATCAGCTGTGAGCTGTTCCCCAGCCCCACTGCTGCTCAGCACTTGCACTGTGCACTGGGACCTTCTGTCTACCCTGGCAGTGGCTCTGGAGAACAGGCTGCCATGGCCCGGCCCCCACGCACATTTCCCACAGGCTGCTCTGGAGTCACAGAATTATAGAATGGCTTGGGTTGGAAGGCAACTTTAAAGACCATCTAGTTCCAACCCCTGGCCATGGGCAGGGACACCTTACACAAGACCAGTTGCTCAAAGCCCCATCCAACCTAGCCTTGAATAATTCCAGGGATGGTGCATCCACGAATTCTTTGGGCAACCTGTTCCAGTGCCTCACTACCCTCCCAGTGAAGAATTTCTTCCTAATATCTAATCTAATCCTGCCCTTTGTCAGTTTAAAGCCATTCCCTATTTTCCTATCACTGCATGCCCTCATCAAGAGTCCCTCTCCAGTCCTCTTGTAGGCACCACCCTGAGCAGCTTGTTGAAGACCTAAGTACTACACTTGGTTTAATGCAAATTGACCGAATAGGACTTTAGACAGCAGTGAGTTCTGTACTTCGGTGAGGTTTTTCTCTCATTTTTTTATTAGATAGCCACTTCTGGTTATCCTGTGCTTTTTTTCTTTTTTTAAGGATGTGCAAGATCAGGAATTGCCTTTGAGACAGTTTACCATTTGACATAGAACAAAGTTCAGTCTTTAGGGTAATAAAAAAGGATCATCCTGATTTATCTGAAAATTGGAATATAGATGTTGCAAAGTCCTCAGAAAGAGCAACCAATGGACTGAGGTAGAGGCTGGGGTTAAAAGAAAAAGTGTGGGCTGGGGAGAATTCCCTTTGATTCTCACCTTGGTGGAGGAGGTTCCAGGATGGAAAAGCTTCAACTCTGATTAAAAAATAGGTTTTTAAGCAAGACTGAAATGGTAGAGTGCAACCTGGTGATCTTTACATTTTGTAACCTGTATATATATGTACATAGTTGTATTTTGGGAAGGAGGAAGCTCCTGTATTTTATAACTGAGTGAAGGAAAAATGCATATAGAGAAAAATAGTTGGCTGTCAACTTAACACAGATTTTCTGTGGCGAAAATATTCATGCTGCTAGGAATTTGAGTGTGAATGCTGCCATCTCAGTGTCTTATTTGAAAATAAACAACTTTTTTTGCTATCTACGTAGGACTTTAGGTCTTATTTTTCATTTCTAGCTTTCAGTAAATGTTGGTGACTATAACTTCAAGCTCTTGGAAAGGGAAAACATCTTTTTCATTACAATAGGATGAAAACTATGTAAATACAGGTTATGAAGATGCACTGTTGGCTGTGAGGCAGTCAACATGCATGACTGCCCTCTACTTTCTTTGTTTTTGTTGCAGGTTGAATGTTCAGCACTTCTCAGTAAGTGGTTGCTTGCACACTTGAAGGTCACTGAGTAAAATTAAGTTAACTTTTAAAAACAGCAAGTTGGTTTTTTTTCTCCTAAATTGTATGCTTTTTCTTTAACATTA